CTTCCCATCCCTGTTTAAAGAGGTTGGCTTACGTCGGGGGTCTCTGCATTGTCCTGCAGGACAGCAAGCTGCCGGGGGGGGGGGGGGGGCTTGTCCTGTCCGCAGTCCTGGTAACTTTGTTGGGCAACCCCCGAAGACAGAAGGCAACCCAACTGCCACTCAGGAAGGTCCTCTGCAGCTCCCGGTCTTCCCTGGGCATTCAGAGGAGGTTCTGCCGAGGAAAGGAAGCCCCCGGGGAGCAGGATCAGGGCGTCTTTCCCTCTCTTCCATGCTGGAGTCGGGGGGGGGGGTCCTTGTTCCCCTGAGTTTGGAGACAGTCCTCACAAAGCAGAACCGGCCAGGACCTTCTCTGCGCTCTTGGGGGGTCCTTTTGCATTCTGACCACCGTGCAAAACACTCCCAAGAATTCCCTTCATCCTCACCTAGATAAGTTTGCCTGCTTTTTTCCACCCAGGTGGCGTCCTTTTCCCCCACTGGGTTTGAACCATCTTTTTCACTTACTGCTAGGTGTCCGCTGATTGGAAACAGAAACAATATGCAATATGCAATATGTGGGTATCAGTCCCCAAGTCTTTTTGATTGATTGATTGATTGATTGATCTATCTGGGCATTAGTGTCGGGTCCTCCTCTGTTTAGAGAGCTCTGTTGCCTCCATTAGCATCTTAGGGTATCTGAAGAGGGACCTCTGCCTTCTTGTCTTTTGCCCAGGGGCTCCCTCAAAACCTTTGTTCACACCGTCCACCTCCTGCAAAAACAGACTGATTTAGGATCCCTGCCTGTGGCTGATGTGTTGTACAGGTGAGGAGGAGGAAGGGGAGGAGGGGGAGTGGATAGGGAGCACCCCAGGTGTTGCTCTCAACCAGGGGCCTCCAACCTTGGCCACTTTCAGACTTGTGGAGCCCTGGGAGTTGGCCAAGGTTGGAGGGCCCTGCCCTAAACCACACACATCAGTTCAGTAATGCCAAGTTCACTGTTTTCTCCCAATAATACAAAGCCCATAAAGGTGAACTCTTTGTGTGTAGGTGTTTGTATTTCACAGAAGCGCGTATTTATGTGTGTGTGTGTGTGTGTGTGTGTCTCCACATCTGCTCCCTGAAGGCTGCTGCTTTTAGAAGGCGGACCTGGATCCCCCTCCTGCTTGCTAGGGGGCAAACACATGGTGTCCTGGGGTTTTGAGGACATGTTGCCAGCACCTGATGCTAACCCCGGCTCTGGCTCCGAAAACAAAGGTAAGAACCCTGGACTTTCCTGCCTTTCGAGCACCTGAGGTTGGGTATTTTCGGGACGGGCAGAAGCCATGGCTAAAGGATAGCAGGGTAGAAGCCGTGGAAAGGTTTTATTCCACTGGGAACTGACCTCCTTCAGGGCAGACACGGGTGGTTGTGAGAAGAAGGTTGCTCCTTCCAGAATGTAGGAATAAAAATGCAACCCTGACCCCCCAAAATAGGGCCTCTGATAAAAAGCAGGGAACCGTTCTTCTTCCGGCCTCTTAATCTCTCTTCTCCAGCTTAATGGCGGCCAATTTTTTGCACCTGCACCTGGAGGAATTTTCTCCCAGGCTTGCATCTTTCTCCTTGATGCTGCCCAGTTGTCAGTGCTCAGAACTGGACGTAGTCGAAGATTTAACTGTAAAATGAGACCATCAAGCTTTTTTCTGTTGGCCTTTTGCAGACCTAACAAGGGGGGCAGCCCTAGGGAAGGCCCTGCCTAGTGCACAGGTGACAGCTGGCCGTGACTCCAAAGAAACATCTGCCCCGTTCTTGCCCCGAATTCTGTGGCTTTGAAAATAACCCTCCTCTTCCTCTTCCTCCTCCTGAATGCCTCTTCCAGATGCAGACTTAGGCCGCTGCCTGGCCGTGGATGGACTTTATCTTTACACCACCAACTCCGTTGGCCGGGGAATCAGCAAATTAGGCTCTGGATTACACGGTACTTTACGGTAAGCCCTGCACCAAAGCACGGTCTCCGAGATAGCGACGGCGGTGGAGAGAAAGACAACATTGGGCGGGTTTCAGGAGGGAACGAAGGAGCCACGAACAGAAGCACCTGATCCAGAGCGCCCCCCTCCCCCCCCGCTCTTCCTTTCAGGGGCTTTGTCTACTCCCGCAACGAGGAACTGGAATCCGGCTGGGTGGCCTTCGGCAACGGCCGGCTGCTCCACAGGCCGGTCTCCTTTGACAGCAAACCTCACTCCCTTTTCCAGGTCATCGATCAGAACACCCTTCAGGTAAAACCAGAGCTGTTTTCTATAAAAAGACAGGTTTCTCAATATCCATTTGTTGATTCCATAGGGAAGGAGAGTAAACTTTCCTTTTCAGCACCTCAAAATTGCCGCTTATAATTCTCTTCTGGAAAGTATCATTCAAAAAGCCATAGTTTTCAGGATGTTAAATGTGTCTTAAAGTCCTGGGTCAGCCAAGAAAAACTTTCACTTCAAAAACTTTCTCCTCTTCCTCCTGCACATTCTTACCCAGCTGCCGGCTTCTTTGTGGCGGCCATTACAGACCGCCGCTGCACCGTCTTGAGAAAAGGGGGTTTTGCCGGCCGGGGAGGGGGTCTGCAACACCCCCAAACCCCTCTCCGGATCCCCCCTATCTTCAGCCGCCCCTGCAGGGCAGCCTTAGCCTCCAAACCCATCCGGATCGGAGGCACCAAAACGGCTAGCGCCGCAGGGATCGCGCAGTATCGCGAATCCCTGCCACTAGCGAAGCCGATAAACCGGAAGTTCCAAAACCAGAGCTGTTTTTAGATCGGCTGTCTGTCCCAGGGCCTGGTTTGTGATCGAGCCAGGTGGTCCTGTCCGCCATCCCCCCCCCGATCTTCAATAATAATTGATTGTCTCTTGGAAAGCCAGGTGGTCTTTCTGAAACTAAGATTTTTTTAAAAAAAATCCCTTGTGCGCCTGCTGTCCTTCCCTGGGGAGCTTTTCCGTCCATCCACAAATGCTCAAGACTGCCCAGCCATGACTTAGGACCGGAGAACTATGCCAGGCAACATCTCAGCGCATGAAACTGCGATGCCCTGGATGCTTCCGAGATGACTCACGCGCTCGGTCTCCCTTTGAAAGCTGGGAATCCATTCCCAAGAACGTCAGAGCATTAGCACAATATTGTCTGCTGGCTGCATCTGAGACTCCGGCCAAGAGCCCAAGAGCTGAGACAGCAGCAGACAAACGTCGAGCATCAAGTTACACGAGCCCTGGGCTGCTTAGTGTCGCAACCGGGCGATTACACAGAGGGATCTCAGGACGGCTTAGCCCAGGGGTGTCCAACCTTGGCAACTTTAAGACTTGTGGACT